GAGAGAGAGAGACAGAGAGAGAGACAGAGAGAGAGACAGAGAGAGAGAGAGAGAGAGCGATGATCTGAACCTGCAACACAACATCGCCAACGCAGACACGTGTCGCAGCACGAATGGTTCAGCATGCACCTTTGAGCCGACTCCTTTGCGTCGCGGGCCTGACGCACCAGATCCTGCTTCTCCTGCTCCGTCCTCTCCTTCTCGTGCAACATCTGCTGCAGCGTGGTCTCGGCCTCCTGTGCTTTCGCCAGCAGCAAGCCTGTTTCCACCTCCGCCATCTCCACCTTCTCGCTCAGGATTTGCGCCGCCTCCCGCATGCGTGAGAGGTCCTGCTTCGTCTGCATGAGGCAAGGATGCAACGCAAGCGTGGGATGTACGGTGCGTGGTTTGAAGGGCGTTGCGGCTGAGATTGAGCTCGTGAAGCAAGGTGCATGCAAGCAGGCACGCTGCAGGTGAGCAACCACAACAGAAGCCGAAAGTGGACCGCCACGGGACAGATGTTCAAGAGCATACAGAAGAAGACATAACCAAGAAACAACACCATCGGCAACGAATGCATGCACGCGCAAATACAGAAATGCATGCACACGCATACGCACTTGCGCAGCCTTGCGCTCTGCGCGCTTCAATTTGATGGACATTTTATCCTTTTCTCTCTCCGCCAGCTTTCGGCTCTGTGTTCATGGCACAAACACGACGTAAGGTCAGTGACGGGTGCACTGTGACAAGTACATTGCATGAGACGATCCAACACACACAGTCAGCCAATCCAAAACAGAAAGAAACAGCGGATGCACACACACACACACACACACACACACACACACACACACACACACACACACACACACACACACACACACACACACGCGTGCCTGCATCTCGCGGATGAGTCTGCCGCGGTCCTTGTCCATGCGCTCGCGCCGCTCCGCGGCCTCCGCCCGCATCTGCTGCACCTCGATCGAGTCCGGCTCTGGTTGTAGTGATGGTGATAAATGATTTTGGCGGCAATGTTGTGGAAGCGTGTACGCATTGTTGTGGTTGTGAGCGTCGGTGATAGTGGTGGTGTTGACGATGTAAGCACAAAGAGGGAAGGGCATATGCGACACAAGGGGCGAAGGTGCCAGGAAACACGCCATAGATGCGCGTGCAAGTGTTGCCCATTTGAGATGTGCTGGTGATCACGCCACCTCGCCGCTTGAGGTAGAGCTCGTGGTTTCCAATGCACAGTTGCAGGATGGTCTTGTTGACCTACACGGTGACAAGGAAGAAAGACACAGATGAGACGGGTGACACAGCAACAGAGTGGAACGCACTGAGATCGGATGGTATCGCCGCCACCGCTATGGTCGCTGTCAAGAAGGCCAACACAGCGCACCAACGAGGATGCACGTGTAAACTCACACAATCACAAACTGCAGCACATCATGCAAAGCAACCCTTACGCTTGGATCTGTGGAAAAGAAGACAAGATCCACAGCATGCTTGTCCAGTGGTTTGATCACAAACTACAGAAGAAAACCAAGAAAGCGAGAAGCAAGAGGAGCGATGCACCGTCGCAGTCAAAATGTGAGCTGACGTAAAGTCGAAATACTTCAAGGCAAAACAACATTTCAACAGGACATGGACGTTCTGGATCGCGCGCAAGCACGCGCACTCACGCACACTCAACACACACACACACACACACACACACACACACACACACACACACACACACACACACACACACACACACACACACACACACACACACACACACGCAGGCACACCTTGCGGTCGTTGTAAGAAACCGTCTTGATCTCACTCCAGGGAAACGAGATGCTCGGGGTGAGCTTGTCTGCAAGATGGGAGCGTGGACCGTTGCAAAATGTTGGTGTGCGGAGAAAACGATTTGTGTGTGGAGTAGTACATGTGTGCAGAGTTAGTGGAAGCAAACAGCATTCCGTGCTTGCGTGTCACCCACCAGGGCAAACAGACGTACCCAGCGCAGTTTTTCACAAACAGGAGCATGCAGGCTTCACTCCTTGACTGACCGTTTGACTTGTAAATGTTCAACCCAAGTGCATCGACACCAAGCCAAAGCAGCGTGCCGCGTTTGTTCTGTCCCGAAACAAACAGAAACGAAAAGTGAGGTGGCACACGCGAGATGGAATACAGGTCAAGGCAAGTGGCTTGGTCGTGCCACATTGTTCAATGATTCTGACGGCACACCTTGATTGGGAAGTAGTTGACGCCGTACATCTCAAAGTCCTGTGCGCAGATGAGAAGAGGCCGAGTGAGACTTGAAACAATAAAAGGAGGAGCACCAATCCTACGAAGCAGACTCTCAAACCAAGTTGACAGAAAAAACAACCGCAAGATGACAAGCAACGCAAAGCACTAAAGCAAGGTGCCAACAACAACCCCCGGGGCACACACACACACACACACACACACACACACACACACACACACACACACACACACACACACACACACACACACACACACACACACACACACACACACACACACACGCACACAAACCTGAGCAAAGGCAAGGTACTTCATCTTTGCCTCCTCTGGGAACATGTTGCGATAGTTTTTGTAGCACTCGACAATGCGCTCCTCCCACATTTCAGGCGTCATCTAATCAGCGACGAACGTCCGCCATAACAGTGAGTAGTGGTGCGTGCTGTGAGGGCTTGTGAATACGAAGAAACTGAATGAAACAGCCTCATCCAGTCATCCTCAATCGGTGCAAAGGAGAAGCTCAGTAAAGTAAGAGCAAGCAAAGCAGCAAAGAAGCAAGCAGCGCTTGTGTGTGCGTTACCTGGTACTGGTTGAGAATGCGCTCTGGCAGCAGCCGCATATCGTGCAGGAATCCGGGTGGGCACAGCTCTGGGTCGTAGTCTCCAAACTACGGAGACCACGGGTGAGTGTTAGCACGCAAGCACACAGTCATCACTTCCAGAAATGCAGCTTGAATCGGCCCACGCTCATAGGTAACATGAATACGCATACAGCTAAATACACGCACGCACACACACACACACACACACACACACACACACACACACACACACACACACACACACACACACACACACACACACACGCGCACAGCTGAATACGCAGAAAGCTAATACACACACACACACGCATATGCACACAAGCGCATCTGCCATGCCATTCCTCTCCCTTCTTGCTGCTCCGCAACAATCGCACTCACAGTTGCTTGGACGGCAAATGAGGCAAGCACAACGCAGTGCTCAGCTTTGCACCAGAGCTCTTCGTCCAGGACCATCTACAACGTCGTCACCATTGAACAAAGCGCATGCACACAGCATGGCAAAAAATACCAGTCGGGTGAGATGGCATGGGACAAACAGTTCAGTGCTTGCAGGCAAAAGCATACGAAGTGCAACGAAACAGCGGAAAGCAAAGCGAAAGCAAGCGCACGTCGACACACACCTGCTTGACGTGAAGATAGAAGAGGTTCTGTGTTACTGGTTGAATCAATTCCGTCGTCACATCTTCTGGGTAGTACTTGACCTTGAAGCTGAGGAAGAAGGGTTTGATATGCAAATGCCATGTGACCACGATGCTTTGCGTTAGAGTGTGCAAGCCAGGCAAGCGAGTCTGAGGTCGCCCGTCCTCACCATCGCCACGGTTAGAGCGAGAGAACAACGCTGTTCCCTGTTTCATGTCGCATGAAGAACGCAAGTAGATACAGTTGCAGCTTTGTCTTCACTCCAACGTACTGAAAGGGCAGAGGTTGAATATGGGGCACGTCCTGAGTCAAGACCTGCACGTGATTCGCGTGAATGCGAGTGAGTGAGACAAATTGTTCTCTTTCCTTTCCACAACGAGCAATGAGATGCTGGGAGAGGATACAGAGAACATAAATCGGCACGAAGGGCATGTGTGTGAAGGGGTGCGCTGCTTTGTATAGAACATGCACCTTCTTTTCGCGCTTGAGCCATGACATTCTTCCTTTGGTGTTTTCGTAGCAGAGGTCGAAGAACCATGTTTCACGCAGCCCGGTGGTGCGCACGACCAGGTCAAACAGCTCCTGCCCCGTCGTTTTGGGCTATGCACAAAGCAAAGCATGGGTAGTTGGTTGAAGGAAGTGCAGCAAACGCCACCACAAAAAACACGATGTGTGAGCAGATTGAAGCAGGGCTGCGTGCTTGCATGCACGACGTTGCACGTCAACTTGCACGACTTGCAGGACTTGCATGACATGACTTGATTGAACGACTCGAAAGAAATCTGCAAAAACTGCTATACACACATGCACACCTGGATGGAGAACTCGAGGGTCGCATCCGCGGTGTGCACAAGCACCCGGAACCACTGATGGCGTCCTTTGCGTGACATGTTTGCTGAGCTGTTGTTCTTGTTGTGCGGCAGGTGTCTGTTGTCGAGTGGGCGTCTTGTTGTGGGCGTCTCGTTGTGGGCAGCAAAACAACAGCATGAAGTGTGCGAAGACTGAATTCAGTCGTGTAGACACTTGTATTGGGCGGAAGAGGACAGCAGCGTGCGCGTGGGTCATCAGCAGTAACACAAAAGGCAACAACGCTGCGCGGTGACGTGCTGGAGGTTAACACTCTTCACCATTCAGTTACGACGGTGCACAGACAGGGCCAAACAGGCGATCAGCAACAATGGTGGTGTTGGTGGAGGTGTGTGCAGGGGTGTTTGTCGGCGATTTTGGTGCCCTACAAGCGCATGAGAGCCTGAAGGAACTCGAGATCAACGCCGTCATCAGCGTCCTCGTGGAGGACACAAAGCCGTGCGTGTGTAAATGTGGTGTGCGTGCGTGCCTGCGTATGCTTGTGTGTGTGTGTGTGTGTGTGTGTGTGTGTGTGTGTGTGTGTGCGTGTAAATCTGTGCGTGCATATGCTTGTGCTTGTGCGTGTGTGCGTGTGCGCATTTGTCTCGTTTCTTCTCGCCGCATCCCTTGCCCACCGCACACAAAACACATCTCGTTCGCATCCAAATCCAAATGCCTGCACCAGGTATCTACCAGACTGCGTGCGAAGGTTCAAGCAGGTGCCCATCACGGACGAGGAGACATCTGACTTGCTCAGCTTCCTTCCAGGATGCATGCAGTTCATCGATGATTCCCTCGGCATCGGTGGCAGCGTTCTCATCCACTGGTGAGCAGAGTGCCTAACTGAGGCAACACAAACACACACACACACACACACACAGAAACACACACACGCACACACACACACACACACACACACACACACACACACACACACACACACACACACACACACACACACACACACACACACACACACACACACAAAGATGACGCTCAAGCATTGATGAAGGCGCCGCCTATGCGTTTTACCCTTGCCACACACATCCCCTGCCATCACCACGTGAGTTTCGATTGCTTGTTTGATCCCTTTGCTCATGCGTTGCGCGCTTCGTTGGTGCCCTGGGTGCTCTCAGCCAAGCAGGCATGTCCAGGAGCGTGGCAGTGGCGTTGGCTTACATAATGTATTCACGGCAAGAGGCACCGGGGTCAGCTTTCCGGTCCCTGAAGAAAGTTCACAGAGAAGCAAGGTGCGAGCATTGCACGCTTTGCATGCACGCGGCGTGCATGTGTGATGTTCTGTCCGTTCACGATGACCCGAGAGATCCATACGCACAATTTCACAAACACACACACACACACACACACACACAACGCAGACCAAATGATGGGTTTGTGAAGCAGCTCAAGCTGTTTGCTGCCATGGGTAACAAAATTGATGACGACCATCCAGAGTACAGATTACACCGCCTCCACAACCTTGCTGACGAGCGAGCATGTACGGTGCTGGCACGACTCTACGAGTTTTGCTCTGTGTGTGTGTGTGTGTGTGTGTGTGTGTGTGTGTGTGTGTGTGTGTGTGTGTGTGTGTGTGTGTGTGTGTGTGTGTGTGTGTGTGTGTGTGTGTGTGTGTGTCAATGTGCTGACACCGTTTTCTTGGCGTTTGTGGTGCCCTTCCCACCGCTGCCAGGGGGACAAGAGATCCAGCCGTCCGCGCTTGCCGCAGACCCCATCACTGTTCCCTTGACGCAGGGCGACGTGCCCGTCAGATGTCGAAAGTGCAGGTGTGTCGGCGTTTATTTTTCTTGTGGGTACAGAAAACGGACTGCCCTCGCCTGTGCCTCTTGTCCACCTTCCTGTGAACCATTGTTCTGTGCCCAAGTTTTGTTGTGGTTTCATTGAGGTTTAACCCACGTGTTGAGGCCAGCTGTGCCACTGGCCCCAAAGCAGCAACAGCGAAATTGGAATTGAGAATCATACACCCTTTTTTTTTTCCCTCGCACAAATGTCAGCACCGCTCATCCCCCCCCCCACCCAATGACCACCAACCTGGACTTTGAAGGCGCGTTGTGTTCCATGGCCGCAATCTTCTTGAGCACACCCCTGGCGAGGGGCAAATCTCCTTCCGCTACCGCCGCCGCGACATGCACGCGTACGATACATGCATGCGTGTGCATGGTGTGTGTGTGTGTGTGTGTGTGTGTGTGTGTGTGTGTGTGTGTGTGTGTGTGTGTGTGTGTGTGTGTGTTTCGGGTGTCGCACATGGATTTCTCGCAAACCCCTTTTCTCTCTCTTCACTGGTCACTGACTGTCTTTGCTTCGTGCGTGCCTGCAGGCAACAAGACCTGTGTTCGTCAGTGTTTGCAGAGCCAATGGCGTGGATGAACGAGGTTGTGGACGGCGTCGTCGAGGGCAAGGTGTGTTGTTGCTTGTTCGCACGTGTGAGTGTGTGTGTGTGTGTGTGTGTGTGTGTGTGCGAGTGTGTGTGTATTTGCCCATGTGTGTGAGAGGTGCTGATTCCTCTGCGTTTTTATTTGAACACGTCAGAAAAGAAAAGAGTGGCTGGACTTGGTTGGGTCTCGCTGTGACATTGACACGACTCCTCGCTTGTCTCCTGTCGAATCCACTAGATTACATGTCCAAAGTGCCAATATCGGCTTGGATCCTTCAACTGGAGCGGGGCGCAGTGTTCGTGCGGTGCGTGGATTACGCCCGCGTTTCAGGTACAAGGGCTTTCTGTGACAATAGTAGGCCGTCGTTGTAGTTGTCCGTTGCCGCTTGAACCTGCTGCGCACTTGATACCACACTTCGAACACATCGTTTTCACACACACACACACACACACACACACACACACACACACACACACACACACACACACACACACACACACACACACACACACACACACTGCCATGATAGGTGCACAAGAACCGGGTGGATATTGGGATTGCCGCGCCAGCAGCAATGCACTTTTCAAAACCAGTCCCAATTCCAGACAGGGGACCGCCAGCCTCATGAAATCCACAATTAAACACACACACACACACACACACACACACACACACACACACACACACACACACACATTCTCTCTGTCTCTCTCTGATTCAAGCACAAATACATGTGAATGTGCATGAACTTCCTACATCCACGCACGAGTACCCACGCACGCTTTGGGCACTCCCTCCTTTAAATGGCTCCAATTTCGTTTTGCTTGTGTATTGCGACTGTCGTTGACAATGCCGATTACTGATCTGTGGCGTGTTTCGTACACAGCACCAGGAGCGTGCGTTCTGTTGCATCCCATGATGGCAACGATAAATAAACTGAAACCCCCATCCAGTGCTTGCCGTTTTGCGTGCACCTAGCAGCGCAAACACACGCATGAACGTGATGGCATGCCATCGACGCCTACACTACAACATAAGCCTACAAACGAGTACAAATACGGCCCGAGCACAACACACACACACACACCAACACACACACACACACACACACCAACACACAACAGAGCCAGTGGAACAACGCAACGTTCGTTGAACCCAATCAGAACTAGGACCCACCACTGTTGCCGTCATGTTAGTAATCACCATCACCACGCCCAGCACCGCTGTCGTTGTTTGGTCTGTCCTGGACGGATGGCATGAGCGACAGGGCCAAATCAACCGTGGCACCGCCATCATCATCATCATCGTCATCATCATCACCAGGATTGTCGTTGTCTCGGTTTCCATGCTGATTATCGTGTGCTGCAACGCCCTGTCCGCCACTGTCACTACCCACGTGTGCAAAGCCACCGCCATCATCAATACCTGTGTTGTGCGTGTGACCGCCACCCGATAATGTGTGTGTCGGGTTGTCGATATTCAAAGTGGCACCATCACCTCCGCCGCCGCCACCGCCGCTATCATCAATGGTCGTGCCAAATGCACCACTACCATCCATGCTCCTCAAGAAGCCCATAGCAGACGTGCGCCGGGGCAACGTGTCGCCGCAGGTCGATGGCGGAAACAGGTCCGAGAGTGGGAGGTCTTGCATGGCCTCGCTCGTATCCAGCCACTCGTTGTCGGCTTCACCGCCAAATGGCGGCAAGTCCTCCAGTCCACCACTGCCGGCACCATCAACATCAGCGCCGCCTACATTCGTGTTGCCGTTGCTGTGATTGTCCAGCCCAATGCGACTGCTACCACCAGCCCCACCGGCGTATTCGCTGCTGTGGCGCTGTTGCCGTTGCTGCCGTTGTTGCCGCAGCCGCATTTCGGCTGCGGGAAAGGTTGGGTCCATCCCCAGCATCTGGGCGCCGCCAAACAACGGGTGCGAGATGGCTACCGATGACGGTAAGGGCTCGTCCAACATCGACGATGACGACGACGACGTCAGCCCGGGCCATGACGACGACAGCGCTGTCGCACTTGACGCGGCCGGTTGCGATGTTGGTGCCGATGCGGGCGCTAGCGCGCTGCTTCCGAGTATGGCCGCCACCTGCGCCCCCGTGATCGTGGCAGCAGTCGTGCGTGCCAAAGAGGGACCTCCTTGGCCGCCCAAAGTCGATGTGCTGCTGTCGTGGGTGCTGGGAATGTTGGCAAGCATGCTGCTGCTGCTGTTGCCGGTAGCTGTGGTGGAGGACTGCAGTTGATGCGTGTCTTCACGCTCGGGCTCCGGGGACGTGAGCAGGGGTGACAAGAGAAATGGCGACAGGCGGTCGTGCAGGGTAGACATCATCCTGGCTCGCTTGTTCGCGTTGTCGTCGCTGAGGAGCGCCATGGCCCAGGACGTGGCAGGGGCCATGCCTGTTGAAAATGCCGACGCGCCGCTTGGCGCCATGTGCGGAGGAAGTGCGGACGGTGCAGACGCAGCGGGATGGGAGGATGAATTAGCAGCGCCCGGCTGTTGTGGCGCACTGCTTGTTATGTGGGGTTGAGCTGAGATGGCAGGATTAAACGAAGAGGAAGGGGGGAGAGAGGAAGTCGTGGCTGTCGTCATTGTAGCTTCGGCTTCAGCATCACCACCTTGGGCGGAGCGGTAGTGTGACATGTGTCCCTGGACAAGGCTGTGAAGCTGAGGGGTTAAATGTACAATCTCAGATACCGAGCCCGCAGGTACTTGTTGTTGCTGCTGCTGCTGCTGCTGCTGCTGCTGCTGCTGTTGTTGTTGTTGTTGTTGTTGTTGTTGTTGTTGTTGTTGTTGTTGTTGTTGTTGTTGTTGTTGTTGTTGTTGTTGTTGCCCTGGCGTGTCCTCTGGCTCGTACATCTGACGTTGGTGACCGACAGGTTGCCCTTGCACAGGTTGCTGCTCTGGTTGTCCCGCTCGTCGCCTGTGCCACTGCAGCTGTTCCATCAGCTGACCGAGCGCCACACTCGGGTTGAGCAGGATCATTTCCAACATGGCAAGCAGCATTTGCTTATCCAGCTGCGGCACTTCTTGCTCCAGCCTCTCCAAGTGCACTGCAGCGGACATCTGCATCAGGCGCCTGGCGTCGGACGTTGTCGAATCATCCCCAACACCACCCCCAGCGCCATCACCGCGAGGACCACCGCGGGGACCACGCATGCTTGCGGCGGTGTCACTGACCCCAGCAATGTGATTTGCGTTTCGATTTGAAACGGGGAAGAGGACAGGGTGTGCTGCGTTCCCTGCCTGCGCTGTCGCACGTGCTGGAAGCTGCACTGGCTGCTGCTGCTGCTGCTGCTGTTGCTGTTGTGGCAGTCGCTGTGTCGGAAGCAGACCAAGAGCGGGATGTGCCAAGGGACCAGTGAGTGTAGAAGGGGCAGGTGCGCGTAGCGTCCGAGGTGGCTGCTGCTGTTGCTGCTGTTGCTGCTGCTGCAATATGCTGGGTGGCGCAGGAGGCATCGAAGAGTGCGTGCTTGTCATCAATGGCAGTCTTCGCTGCTGCTGCTGCTGCTGCTGCTGCAGGGACTGCCCAAGACCCCTCATGAGGTGGCTGAATGGTGGATCCGACCCAAGTCTGAATGGATTTGCTGCCGGCAGCTGCGCAGAATCAGGGTGGGCTGCTTGTCCCTGGTGCTGCCGCTGTTGCTGGCGGGGGCGGCCGTGCGGCAGCAGCTGCTGCTGTCTGCGGCGGCGCGGAGAGCTCGGTACAAAGGGTGGGAAGTGGGCACAGGGTCGTGCATGCACGGCAGAGGACAATGACGACAGTGATGACGCTTGTGTGGTTGAAGTTGATGATAGGGACGACATGCGGCCCACTACTACTGCTGGTGCTGTCGCTCTTTGAAATGAGCTTGGGGTTGTTGTTGTTGCTGCTGCTGGTGGTGGTGCTGGTGGTGGTCGTCGTTTTCTCGCGCGCGCTCTTCTTCTGCCACCACTTTTGCTGCGACCGGACTGACGACTGCTACGGGCGCCGCTGCTGCCGCTGTTACTGCTCCCGCCCTCATGGAACGGCTGTGGCATTGAGCTTGGGTGTGGCGTGCCTTCCGCACTTGCGGCATCAGAAGACTTGGCGGGTGCACGCGACGTTGGTCGTGGCGATGGCGGCGGCGATGACGATGCCGATGACTTTGGCTTGGCGGTCTGTCTGCGTGGCTGAAACTTGTAGTCGGGGTAGAGCCGCTTGTGCTCCTCCTTCTGCTTCTCTGCCAGCCTCTTGTAATGATCTCTCACTTCCTGGCTTTCGTTCTGCCACAAGTGTCCAATCTCCGCGTTGAGCGTATTCATCTTGAGCTGCGCCTTTGTTCGCTTCAACTGCACCAGTGTGATGGCGGTGGGAGATACGTGTTTACGTGTATGCGTGTGGTTGTGGTTGTGAGTGTGATGTGATCATGTGTGTGCGTGTATCCGAGGAAGATGGAGTGAGTGACAGTGACGGCCACAACAAGCGGGTGTGCCAGCGTGCAGCAACGGAAAGGGGCGAGGTTGTGTTGAGGCAAGCTGCACGACGCCATGGTACGACCAGCACACACTCACACACAAACACACCCACGCACACCAAGCAAGAAACCCACCAATGGGGATATGCTCACCTCCTGCGTCTTGTCTCTCTTGTAAAGGAAAAACTCATTGAGCGGCCGCTTGATTTTGTCCTTGTCTTTGGCACAAGCCTTCTTCTTTCTCCTGGACGATGAGGAAGGCTTGGACGACGACGAAGACTTGGGTGACGACGAGGACGACTTGGGATTGCTGGCCGCCGCCGCTGCTGCGCGCTGTTGCTGCAGCATCTGCTGCTGCTGCTGTTGGGTGAACTGTTGGCGGGCCGTCGTGTGGCAGCCTAGACTGGGGAGCTGACTCATGGTTGAAGCCATCAACCACGATTGCTGCTGCTGCTGCTGTTGCTGTTGCTGTTGCTGTTGTTGTTGTTGTTGTTGTTGTTGTTGTTGTTGTTGTTGTTGCTGCTTAAGTTGTTGTTGTTGTTGTTGTTGTTGTTGTTGTTGTTGTTGTTGTTGTTGTTGTTGTTGTTGTTGTTGTTGTTGTTGTTGTTGTTGTTGTTGTTGTTGCTTAAGTTGTTGTTGTTGTTGCTGTTGTTGTTGTTGTTGTTGTTGTTGTTGTTGTTGTGGCGGGTGGTGTGCGTGTGCTGGTTGATGGCCCGGGACCATCTGCTGCGCCTTGCTCATGTCCAGTGTGGTTGTTACTGCTGTCCTGCAACGTGCTGATGCTGAGGCGGACGACGGCTCGACACGCCCTCCCATGTTTGCTACTGGTTGGGGCGGGACAGCCGTTGTGTCAGCCGTTGCCGCTGTTGTCTGCGCTGCGGTTCGTTCTGTTGCGGCAGTAGGGAAAGGAAGACTGAAGATGTCGGGCGCGAGGAAGGACGCCAGTGTTGAGGGGATCGTTGGCGGAAACATGCCGTGTTGAGGGTCGGGGAACAGCGACAGGGAAGTTGCGCTTGTGGAGGACATCGTGGTCCTGGGGTTAACAGAAGGTGTGGTTGTGGTGGCGGTGGACGGTGTGGAACGTGGCTGTGAGATTGTGGTCACGGGAATGACAGAATGCGTGGTTGTAGTGGCAGTGGATTGTGTGGAAGGTGGTTGCTGGGAATTGGACCCATCGTGCTGTTCAGGCCATCTCGGATCCATCCTCTATGCTCTGCATGCAGCCACAGAACACCTCTCTGCGTCCGTATCAGGACGTGAGCGGTTGCAACGCTGAGGTGCGGCGTGGGCCGGTTGACTTGGCTTGGGTGGGCTTGGGCAGAGGAGGCGAAAAAGCGTCCAAGTAAAACACAGTTGGGTACACGGGGGAGGGACGAAACCTCAAGGCCAGCGAGGGTGCTGCTGCACGCAGGCAGCCAACAACAGCTGTGACAGGAGATAATGGGCGGGCAGCCCCAGTGGTATGCAACAAGATGCGTTTTGTGAGAGGGGTGGGGAGACAGGGGGGGGGGGAGTAGCAGCGGAAGGGGCTTCAACGGTCACAAACAAGCACCCAGCCCCAGCTCACTCAGAGAGCACTGAAAAAAGCAGCACCAACAACAACACTAAAAAATATGTAGCACAGCAGGAACAACGCGCTCGAACGCACACGCGAAGTCAACAACGGAGAGGAAGAGAAATCGAGCAGGTGGAAGCGACTGGACAAAGGGCAACCTTCTCCCATGTGTGTGTTGCCCAGCATTCCCCGCACCAAGCAAGCGAGCGAGCAAGACACTGGAGGAGAGGAGGAGAGGCAAGGAGGGTGTTCAGATGCCGAACAGTTCTGATGGCGGCACACGCGCGGTTGTTGGCACAGGAAGAGGCGGCGACGTGGCAGCCAGTCAAGTAAACAAGCAAGGACGAGTGGTGGAGCAAAAAAACAACAACTGTAATTCGACACTTGCTTTCGTTGCGGACGCTTGGACACACGCAGCCAATACGAGCAAGTGGGCTGGGGAAGGGGGAGGTTGGGCGTCGTGCCTTCGTGCCTGCTGACTACAGGCAGTCTCGCTGGTGTTGTGCTCCTGTGCTCCAGTGGATATCCAATCGCGGTGCTGTGAACAACTAAGGGAGGGAGAGGCCCAACAGACTGCTTGCTTGATGGCTCTTTTGGAGTCGTGTCGCTGTGTGAGTGCCCTGTTGTTGTGTCTGCGGACGGTGCCTTGTTGCTTTTGTGGCGGTGCTGTTTGTGTGTGTGTGTGTGTGTGTGTGTGTGTTTGTCTCTTTGTTGCTCATGGCAAGCACGACGACTTTTTTGTGTTCGTGTGCAGAGCACTTGGGAGGGAAGCGGGGCTGAGAAAACCAGTGGACAGCACACATAATACCCGCATCCGACCGTCCTAAACTCGACGAGCATTCGACGATGATTCCCAACGGTTTTCCTCTACGCCCATGCCATTTGGCGCTCGTTTTCGCCTTTGTTTGCAGTGATCGTGGGCGATTCGCACTTGCGAACAAAGAGATTCGAGTCGCTTGCGGGGCAATCTTGCGGGACACGCGGACATTCTGTCGCCCACAACACCACAAAAAAGGGGTGTTATGTTAAGTCGGGTGCAGGTTGCTGGAGTGGCGTTGCGAGATGGCTCGGTTGTGGCAGCTTGCTCGCTTTGCTTTGCTCTGCTTCGCTTTGTTGTGCTTCGTGTTGGTGTTCATGGATTGCGTCGTGGGCCATGGGACATCCTGCGCAACGTGAGCAATCTAGACACATTGCACGCGATGGCCAACACCGCCTCGGATGTGCGCGGGCGTGTGGGTGCGTGTACGATGAACAGTCTGCCTGTGTGTGTGTGTGTGTGTGTGTGTGTGTGTGTGTGTGTGTGTGTGTGTGTGTGTGGAAGAGAGGGTGAGAGTGAGCCGAGAGGGTGAGACGAGAGAGTGAGATGGAGCAAGGCAACAGCCACAGCCACCACCACCGGAGAGAAGGGAAGATGCGAGCGTGTGGAGCAGAGAAGCAAGCAGACAAAAGCGCAACGAAAGGAGCAAGCGATTAAGTGTGATTGTTGATGGCATTCGCTCCCTTGGGCAGTTCATTGGGTCGTGTACGTTGTTGATCGTTCTCACTCATGACACAAGCGAGCAGACGAAGCACAAGGCGAAGGCGAACAGAGGAACAGGCGTGGGGACGCGGAGAGGGTAACGAAGTGACAATTAAGAACAAGTGTCAATGATGGCGCAAGCAAGGGTGGGGGGGTTGTCCCACACACACGCACACACACACAAAAAAAAAAACAAAAAACAAAAAACTGAGAGATGCACACTGAAGGGTGTGAGACCGTCCTACACAGGGATGGGCGTGCGTGCACACAGACGCACGCACAAAAAGCGGCGCAGGCGCTCATGACACACACGCGCACACACACACACACAATGCATACGTACGCACACACACACACACACACATATCACTAGACGCAAGAATCGAGGGCACTGGAGTCGGTCAGTTCAAGTGTCGGGCGACGCTGCTCGTCTGCCTCATCTTGTTCTTGTAACTCAGCCGCCGTCTTCTCGGTGACTTGCGCATGCTGTCCCCCTTCTTGGTCAAGAGACCCGTGGACTAGCGAGGCCGCTGCACGCCTCGCCTCGGTCCTCACGCCAAGGCTGCCCAGCCGGGCCCCAGCGTAATGGCCCCCACTCGCCTCACCATCAGCATCAGCATCAGCATCGGCATCGTGACGACCCACATGCATGCTCGTTTTGGCGTGCGGCTTGGGCGCGCGCGTGACGCTGGCAGATGCCGCGCGCGACCGCTGCGTCTCAGACAGCATCTGCGCCAAGATGCGCCCGCACAGCTGCAGTCGCTGCGCCGTGTCCTGCCCAGAGAGCGAGGGAAAGCTGGACGCAGACCACAGGCCCGAGAAGCCAAGCTTGTCAAGCGCCACCACCTGCTCTTGCTGCGGCCGCAGCGTCGCCTCCACCAGGTGCCGAATCAGCCGGTGGCAGTTGCGCACCATCTCCGCGTCCTGCGCCCGGCGAAGCGTGCGCTGCACCATCTCCAGCAGCTCCTCCTCCACCAGCGCAAACGGTGCCGGTCGCAGCTCCGCAAACTCAGCCAAAAACTCAAGCAGAAACGCCTGCTCCCGCAGCTGGTGTGCGCTCTGGCCAAGCTTGGCGCACATCATCACCAGCATCAGCGCAGCAGCGTCGTCCCGCGCCGCAGAAATGATGTGGCGGTACTTGAACTCCCCAAACGGGTTCACAAACGACTCCTGCACATTCTCGTCAATGGGCAAGAGCGCGCACACGTACCCAAGCATCGCCTCAGAGACCTGTGCAGGTTCCTCGTTCCCGTCACTGCTGCTGGCGTCATCGTCATCACCAGTGTCGCCGCCTCTCGCAGTACCGCCGTCGCCGCCATCTGCGCGCGACTTCCGTGGAATCACGGCCACCTCCGCCGAGGCAAACCCAGCCGGCAACCGCTCAGAGCTCTCCGAGATGCGGTGGCGCGCGTCTCGTCCGAGTAGCTCCACCTCCTCATCGTCGTCTTCATCATCAGAGGCGTTGCCAGCCGTGTGCGTGGCACGTGCGGGCTTGGGGGCGTCGTGCTCAGCCGCTGCTTCCTCGTGCATCTCGAGCAAGGCAGAGGCAGCGCGAGCGTCGCCAAACCCGCTCGCCTGGCTCCCGCCCTGCTGCTGACTGCGCTTTGGCTTTCTCGGCTGCGAGCGTGAGAAGCGCCGCATCGACAGCTGCGGCCGTGGGGCCACGTCAAAGCTCGGGCGGGTACGGAACGGCTGGTACGGCACGCCGAGGCTCCTGGCGGTGGACACGGAGCCCACGCTCGGGGACGGTGGGCGGTGCGCTTCGGCAGCAGCCAGCGCGGCGTTCTGCGCCGTGGTGAAGAACACGGCAAGCAGGCGGCGCGCGCGCAGGATGGTCACGGGGTTGGGGTGGTCAAACGCCCGCAGCAGCGTCGCACTCATGGCAAAGCTGAAGTTGCCCGTGAACGACAGCCCGCATAGCTGCTCCAGCTGGTCAAACAGCGCGCGTGCCTGCGTGCGCGCAGCCAGCACAACATCCGCCACGGGGCGCGAGGCAAACACGCCGTGGTCCTCCATCGTGTTCACCGTGGTCTCCAGCACAGACAGCGCAGAGCTGTACAGCGGCTGAATGCCCACTTGCAGGATGGCCAGGGACACCCAGAACATGAGCATGTGGTAGTCAAAGTCGCCCTCCTCCACCAGCGCCAGCAGCCGCGCCAGGCACGCAAGGATGGCGTCCGCGAGCTCCACATCCTCCTGCGACAGCGCGGTGCCGAGCGCCCCCAGCACCAGCGCCATCAGGTCGGCCGACGTGGTGGGCGTGATCACGCCAAGCGCAACAAACGCCCGTGGCCGCAGCACCGTGTTGCTCTGGTCCCGCGCCACCTCAAGCAGCAGCTGCAGCCACCGCCGCCGCCACGCTTGCGCGTGCTCCTCCACCTCGCACACAATGTCGTGCAGCACATCCACCACGCTCTGCACAGACACCAACCCGACGCGCGGCTCCCGGGAAGCAGACCTGACCGCCACCGCCGCCGCAGTGGCAGTCACGGACGACGGAGCAGTGGCCGCACTGGTTGGTGCGCCTGTTGTTGTTGTTGTTGTTGTTGTTGATGATGATGATGCAGGTGCACCCAGCGCAACGCTTGAGCTGGCACTCGCGCTGTGCACGTGATGATGTGCACGTGGCGAGCGCGGGGAGCCGCCACCGGCAGACGCGAGCGGGTTGTTGAACATGCCCGCACCGCCGCTGCTGCTCGATGGTGCCCCTTGCTGTGCTGCTGCTGCTGCGCTTGAACCTGGCGCAGGCACGGGCGAGGAAGGCGACGTTGCGCGGCTGCCACTGCCCATACCGGGCGATGGCAGGTTGAGGTAGCGGACATTGCTGCTGCCGCTGCCTGCAGACACGTTGCTACCACTGTTGTTGCTGTTGTTGCTGTTGTTTGCTGTGGCCATACGACCGCCACCAGCACCACCGCTGTTGTTACCCATGGTGGCGTGGGTTACACCGTGGCTGCTGGGCCCGGTGGCGCTGCCGCTGCCGCTGTTGGTGTGGTTGTGGGTGTGGTTGTTGCCGGCGCCACCGCTGATTCCGCTGGCGTTGGCCGGGTTCGGGCGGCGGCTGGCGCCGGGTGCACTGCTGTCAGACGACGGCAGGCCGCTGTTGACGAGGTCGCACAGCGGCTGCTTGCTGGACACGCCAAACTGCAGCAGCAGCTTTGGCAGCGCCATGTTCTCCAGCTGAATGCGCAGCGCCTTCATGCGCTCCTCCTCCAGCTGCAGGCTCGTGCACATGCTCTGCGTCACGTTGGTGACAATGGCGTGCATGACCGCGCGCGTGCTGGGCGGGCCAACCGCCACCATCATCGTCACGATGAACCAGATGTCCGGCAGGTTGCGCTGCACATCCAAGCAGTTGTTGAAGGACAGCTTCAGCAAGAACCGCGCCAGAACGCGCAGCCGCGGCCACAGCTTGTGCTGGGACAGGCACTTGGCCCGGGTGCTCCCCGTGTCCCGCAGCACGCGCAGCACCTCCGCCACAACCTCCTGCGCCACCAGCGACGCGTTCACGCTGCCCAGGCTGACGGCCGCATCCGCCAAAAGCTCCGCCGCCTGCGTGTCCGGGCCGTGCTCAACCGCGGTGGACATAAACTCGCGGATGACCAGGCGCGCAAGCTCGTCCACCCGCGCCACCGTGCTCCACACCGTTGCCTGCAGGGACGGGTACAGGTCCTTCTCGTGGATGGTCATGTCCACCAGGCCCTTGATGATGGCGGCGACCTTGCTCGACGTTACCGCGTCCTCGCACAGCCGCGGCAGCCACGGCTCCATGTACTCGAGGCAGATGTGCTTCTGCTCCGACGTGGAGTTGCGGATGCCCGTGATGCACTCGTCAAGAAACTCCAGCGTCAGGCCCGGCTCCGCGTGAGACAGGCACTCTGAGATTCGGATGATGAAGTTGTTGTTGTTCTCCGGGATGACCAGGCTGCTCGCCTCCATCACCTCCCCGCCAATGTGGAAGTTGAATGTCGTGGTGGCGTTGGCCAGCAGGTTGTATGAGGCGAGCCGCAGCTTTGCGTTTGCGCTGCCCAGGTTCAGCAGCGCCATGTTAAGTAGCGTTGCCGGCACATCTGCTGGGCGCATGACCTTCCACTCCTTCTTGTTCTCCGGCTGCGACAGCAGGTAGCGCGTCCACGCCTGCGACACGGCCTGCATTCAATTTTGAATGTGGAGGGGGTGGGAGAGGGAAGCAGGAAGGAAGAGGAAGCAGGGAACAGCAAATGGGGTGTGTCAATGTGCGAGATTTGGGTCGTTTTCACCATGTGCAAGAGCAACAGCAAGGGAGGTGGTGGAGTGGACAAACGGGGGAGAGGGCAGAGGGCACGCCCGTACGGTGAATGATGCACACACAATTAATTAACACGCACACACGCACACAACACACACACACACACACACGCACACACAACACACACACGATCAACACACACAATTAACACACGCATACAGAGTACAAGATGTGCACATACATCATCGAGTTTCTTCGTTTCGCCGCAGCTGAGGATGAGCGATTCGCCATCTCTGTAGAGGATGCGCACGTGTCCGTCGTCGGTCATGCCCGAGTTGAACACATCCACAAGATCCGCAACCGGGAACACGTCCACCGTTCGCACGGCGTGCGTGAACAGCTTCACTTTCTCCGCGCTCACCACCTGCCACGACACAGACCCAACCTGATTATGTGTGTGTGTGTGTGTGTGTGTGTGTGTGTGTGTGTGTGTGTGTGTGTGTGTGTGTGTGTGTGTGTTTCTGGGAGTGAGAGGTACATGACAGCGTTGCAAAAAAAAAAAACGGTGACGTGGGCAGCCCAAAGGTAACAAAAACGCATGGATTGAAGGTCGTGTTCAAAATGGGGCAATCGGAGCGTCACGTTGAAATCACCACATGAACATGCACGTGCGCCGTCAGCACATTTCAAAAACACACTCCCCCAAAACACAAAGCAATTAGAACATCAAGCCTCGCAAAGCGCTACAACAAGACACCCACGCATACGAACGAACGCACCTTGAACACAACGGGCAGGGTCTTCTTGTTGGTCTGGTGCAACGTGACGTTTGAGAAGATGTCGGTGGCCTCCGTCAAGCGGTGCGTTGAGGCTGGAAGCGCCGGGTTGGGCACAAACTCCTGCAGCTCCACCTCGTTGACAAAGCGGATGACCTTGTGAAACTTGGAGGCCGTCACATGCCGCGCCACGCGCTTGGCAAACTGCTTGAAGCTTGAGGACGCGTTGACAAAGTAGGCGGTGCCCACGTGCGCGACAATGGTGGGCGGGACGACGGCCAGGAACTTGGCAAGCACAAGCTCGCTCGGCTCGTTCTGCCGCGAGAAGGCCGTCAGGTCTAGGACCAGGTCAAACTTGGCGGAGAGCAGCGGCTTCAGCGTCAGGAAAATGAAGTACAGCAGCTGCTCGCCATCAATCTGCACATGCACACGTGTGTGTGCGTGTGTACATGTGTGTATGCGCGTGTGCGCGTGTTTGTGTGCGTGTTTGTGTGCGTGTGTGAACGGATGGGACAGGGACAAGGCTGTGATGAGTCTTCGTCAAGTTGTGCTTCACATGTTTGTTGAAAGTGAAAGGCTGTGCAATGTCACACACACACACACACACACACACACACACACACACACACACACACACACACACACACACACACACACACACACACACACACACACACACGCACAGACGAATGAGAGGGTGTACCTCGGCAGCACGGTAGCGGCGGGCGATGAGGTAGAAGACGGGCCGCTTGTCTTTGGACATGCCGCTGATATCGAAAGCAATAAAGGAGGGAGGAAAAATGACTTGGATGTCAGCAAGAGCAGCGGTGTGCTCGCTTGTGGGTATGTGCGCGCGTGCGCGTGTTCAGTGACAGGAAAAAGGCGTTCAATGGCCTGTTGTAGACATCAAGCGGGAAAAAGGCATGATGATCGAGCACGTGTGAGCGTCAACAACATACCTCCTGAAAAACACCTGCTTCTTCTCAATGTCTTCGGTGCTGGTGCCCACAAATTCGTGCCGGGCAAGAAAATCCTCCAGGTTTTTGTTCTCCCGGCTGCGCGCAGCATACGATGTGGAGCCTTGCGTGGTGGTCGCCTGACATGTGTGTGTGTGTGTATGTGTGTGTATGTGTGTGCGTGTGTGTGTGTGTATGCGCGCGCGCGTGCGTACACATGTGTGTGCGTGTGTGTGCGTGTGTGCGTGAGTGACTGGTTATACTTGCGAGTGGAGGAAGCACGAGCGAGATGACAGCAACACAAACAAGCACCTTTGGCGGGTCGCCGAGTTGCGCAAGGAGGGTGGCGAGCTGATCAAAGAGGAGCGAGGAGGAAATGGACGAGACGTCTTTGATGTCTCGCGCATTCGCCGCCAAGTCCTGGCCAATCTGTGTCGATCGGTCACGGTGAAGCAAGGGATGGAGTGCATGGCATGATCATCAGTGGCTTGGGAGTGTACATGGAAGCAGGTGCGTACGAGATGACGAACACAATCCCTGAAAGCAAGCAACCAAAGCACGCGAACACAACCAAAATTGCCCTCCGTGCACACACACACACACACACACTCAATTGTCAGCTGATGTGCGCACCTTTTCGAGGTTTTCGAAGACCATGCGGTGAAGGGCGTGGAGATCGGCGTCGGTGACAGGTTCCACCTCGTCCTCCTCACCGCCGCCAACGGACGCCTCTGTTGTGTGTGTGTGTGTGTGTGTGTGTGTGCATGTGTGTTGTGTGTGTTGTGTGTGTTGTGTGTGTTGTGTGTGTGTGTGTGACAGTCAGTTGAAATGACAGTAGAGCCAACGCTTGCATACACAGTCCTCAACCAAAACAGAACCCCAACACACGCAGACACACAGACACACGCACACACGCACACGCACACGCACACATGCACATACACACACACACACACACGCACGCACGCACGCACACACACACCAACCGAGGGAGGCTGCTGGGGAGCGGATGTCTGCGACTTCAATGCCAAACGCGTCGAGTGCGGTGAGCGTGGACTTGGAGAGAGCAGAGGGGTCGGCGACGCTGCTCAGGTACGACTGCATGCGCTCCATGTTGTCCACGATAAACCCATTCACCCGCTGCATGTACGCCTCCTTCACGCCTGCGTTTGGGACAAGCATGGTGCAACAAAGACGGAAGGAGGAGGGTTGGCTCATGAACACAAGGGCATGTATTTGTGTACGCGCGCGTGTATGTGCATGTGTGCTGGGGTGTGTTGAAATTGCTGTAACACCAGAGGTGACAACATGTGTTGGTTCGCGGTCTCACCTGAGAACGAGGCGTTGTTTGCCAGCGCCTGCAGCATCTTGGAGAGGAGCAGCAGGGCGCGGAGGGCTGGCACGGGCAATCTGCAGCATTGGTGGGACGTGGGGTGAGCAAAGTCAGGACAAGCATGGATGTGCGTTTAAAACAGAAACACGTGGAATACTCAATGTTACACACATACACACAGACAGATACACACGCTCTCTCTCTCTCTCCATGGGTCTGACTTTGTTTTTGGAGGCAGCATCTCGTACGACACTGGGGAGACGATGGCCGGGGTGAAGAAGCGGAGGAAGACAAGCCCGCCAACAGCGGTGAGCCCGGCGTCAGGGAAGAGCGACTCAGACGTCCGCCGCACATCCCAGCAGATGGCCTGTGAGTGTGATGTGTGTGTATGTGAGTGTGTGTGTGAGTGAGTGAGTGTGTGTGTGTATACAGGGGACGCAAAAGCCGTGCGTGAGATCGTATCGATGAAAGGCATGCGATATTGGATGCACTTGTGCGCCTGTCACTTATCGTCCCTCTCCCCGCGCAACAAACAAACGGCCCCTCCTCTCCCCCTCCCGCTAGCAGGGGCAGTGCGGGGATTGCAACACGACATACGCGAAGGGTCTCCGGCAGCTCGTCGATGGTGCTGAAGATGCGATCGAGCACAGACTGTGCCAGGTCACACAACCGCTGTGCATTCTCCTCGACCTGGTCCTTGTGCTCGCCAAGCTTTGATTCGTCCACCTCGTACGAGACGGTCCCGTTTTCCTTCAGCAGCTGCGTGAGCAGCGGGCCCACGACGCGGCGCAGGTACTCCTTGCCCTGCATCCGGATCGCGGCCGTGCACACCTGTGTTGCACGCGGTGAAACAAGAAGGGGCAGGGGCGGTTGGAAAATGGCGGTCGAGGTTGTCATTGGCAGTGCAATGGAGTGTGTCGTGGTGCGCACGCACGCACATGCTTGCATACGAGTGCGTGTGCAAATGCGTGTGTGAATG